CAAGAAGATAAACGAAAAAAACGCAACTACATAACATAGACCTGCGCGCGCACACAGACCCAGCAGTATTGCTTCATGCGGTTAGGGCGTCAGGCTGATGTCAGCTTCATAAGCTCTACGACCTTCTTCACGCTCGGCCTGTCCATTACCTCAGCGACCGAAGCCTTGACACGCGGATATGCATCAAGCACTGACACGTGGGACCCGCCAAGCAGGTAGTAAGCCGTCGGGAAATGGCAGATATCCGCCAGGCTGACAAAGTCTCCGGCTAAGTACTTGAACCTGGAGAGATGTGCCTCGTAAACCCCTAGGGCCGTCTTGAGCTTCTCCAGATTCTCCTGGACGATTTTCGTGTCGATTTCGCCACCTGGAAGATGATGGGCGACATGGTGCTGGTGAAGTGCCCTGACTCCACTTCCAGCCAAACGTCTACCATTGCTGACTCGGCGAGGTTGCTTTCTCGAAGGAGATCCGACCCTAGTTATTAGGACCGGACCGGACCGGCGGTTCGACCGCTAAAAGACCGAACCAAAGCCTAGACCGGCCCGGTTCACTTAAAAGACCGTCTGTGCAATCGAACCGTTAAAAACCAGTTGAACTAGCAGGTTTTTTACGGAACTGGTGAACCAGCCGGTTCCATGTGAACCGCCCCGGTCTGATGCCGCGCAAGCAGTTTGGTTGTGCAGCGTGGAGCCATGGACGCGTGGTCCTATCAAGCTGGTGGAGCGCCTGCACCTGCCACCGGTAGGCTTGCACTGCTGCCGCTCACTTTGGAATTTGAATGGCATGCGTGGAGGTGTTGTCGGCTGCTCCTGGCTCCTTTGACTTTTTGGTAGTACTGGCGTGAGATGACGTGACTTTTAAATTTCGAAATTTCATAACTTTTTTAAATGAGCTTCAAATTGAACAAATAATATATGTATTTTGATTATCTCAACGAGCTATGCGCAATGGTGTGCTCTATTTTAACATTCGAGATTGTTTCCAATAGTAAATATTTGAATTACTATTCTAGTCATTTTTGCACCAATTTGTAAGTCCTCCATATATTATTTATACATATGTTTTAAATATCTGGTAAAACAACTCTAGAGCACCAATGTCTTGGAGTGCGTGTGTAGATTAGTGGGAAGCAAGTTATATAATTGTGTTTTATCATCTTATTTGTATATGTGATCAAATATATGTTGCTAATTATTTATTATATATATTCCTAAAAATTATTTATTATATATCATTATATTACACCGGTTTGAAGTATTTGTGAGCGGTTCAATTCATCCGGTCCAAAATAATCGAACCGACGGTTCAACCGGTTCTTAACGGTTGGACCAGTGAACCATCAAACCGATGGCCTCGTTGGTTCGATGTCCGGTCCGGTCCTAATAACTATGGATCCGACCCGCCTTTGCGAAGGATGTACATTGAAATTGCACGGGACTCTGTTAAGATATACGTACATACTAATAAATTGTCATATGTGTACAATTGTTATGTATAGATACGTAAAGGGAAGAATGTAACGAGCTTGTTTAACCACAGCAGTCTTTCTTGACTTCCTCACCACATCGTTCTTTGAACATAACTACCTCGCTCCATTACTTTACTTACGTTATGCATATGCAGTAGAGGCAACCAAAACGGTTGTCGTAGTTTTCCTTAAAAAACTTTATATGTTTTGCCAGAGAAAAACTTTATATAATGCAAAGCAATGACACACAGGTGAAACAAAATCTATCATTTTTCCTTTGGAAAAAAAGAGAGAATCTATTTCAATAATATTGGATCAAACCAAGCAAGAAACGAGCATTGTTTGTTGCAATCTCACCGTAAAGAATCAGATCGCCATCCTGCAAAAGCTGGGACATGACCGAACGGCTGCAAAATCAAGTAAAGAAAAGAATAACGATATATGAGAAAGCGCCACTAGATATACATTAATCGGGAGGATGAGAGAGATAATGGAGAAGAGTTGGACGGATGAGTTCGTTGCGGGCAAAATGCGCCGGGCCCTTGTGCTCGCCGGTGGTCATGTCGACGGGGACCACCTCGTACTCTGCGCCGACCTCCTCCAGGCAGACAAGAACGCGTGCCACGTTCGTCGACATTGCTGGCCCATACACCTTCATTGCCATTATTTCCTCCTGCGAGTATGAGATGAATGTAGGAGGCTGCTGTACTGTGGATCGATGGCACCTCTTGGTCTGGTTTGGATTGCAGCTGCTAAATTTAGTCATTTCTAAATAATTTAGTTCTATTTAGTCACTCTAGAATTGTTAGAGAGAACTAAAGCCTTTTTAGTACTATTTAATTATAGTGTTTAGATAAAAAGTGACTAAATAGAACTAGATTTAGGAGCTTCTGGCTGAAACAAACACCCCTTACTGTAGGTGAAGACTTGCTTTATACTAGAGATTTGAGCTATGCATGGGTCAACTCCCGGGGGGTTTGCGTTAACTAAAGAAACTCTTGAGGACACTATCTTTAGATCATCATATGGAAAACTTCGGACAATGTACCTATTCTCATTGAAATTGAAGTCAACGTCAACATACTAAATTACTAATAGAGAATGAAGAGAGAGTTTTTAGCATTATGTGTCACTGGTGGTGGTGGTTCATGGTGACTCATCAACAGTTTCTAATAAGATGAAGAAGCAAAAGGGCTGCCCATTACTGATTATGTATACCAGTCTATCAGCCCATGTCCCTGCATGAGCTATACGAAGTGTTGGAAGTTTGTTTTAAGTACGCGTTTGTATTCTTTGAGCCAGTACAGCGTGGGCCAGCGTCTCAGATACGACCTAGGCCGGGACGAGACAGAAACCAATCAAGCCGTATGTTTCTGCTCCACAAGGTATGTCACTCCTGCAACAACGGTGAAACCAATCTAGCTTGATGACCTCACCGTGAGGTCATATTCAAACCTTAGACGGCCGTTTTCCTTTAGGAAAATAATTTTAAAATACTTCAAAAAATACACTTATACTAACAATGAACCTCCACCATTCATCTCTAGAGCGATGACCAAGATTAAAAGACCCCATACACTTGTACCATCAATGAACTTTTGCACATCATCTAGACTTGAGGGCATTTAGACTTTTTTTCACCACAATTTGACACCATTAGAGGTAAAAGTGGATGGAGTAGCGTGAAGGGCAAAAAGGTTCGAATCAATGACACCGGTGTCCGCTCAACTTTTTAATGACACGTATGTAATTTGAAACTTTTATAATAGCACACAGGGAAAAGACTCTGGTTTCTCATGACGGGGTGACGGGGAAAGGCTGGGTTGAGCTAGGATTAGAATCCACACAGGGCCAAATCAGGTGGAAAGACTTCCTGTTGTATCCAAAATGGTGTGATCAATGTTATTTTTAATTTAAAAGATTGAATACTTTAAAAACTTTTCAGAAAAAGAAAATTTATTCTAGACATAAGTTGTGCACACAACCATCCATTATTAAAAACACAAACTAAAAACAGCTTGCTCTCGAAGAGCGACAAAAAAAAACAATAGCCACCACCTAAACACCAAGTCTGTTAGAATACACGCACCCGTTCATGCCTTTCTAGTGAAAATTTCCATATGTCCATCTTAAAGTCGGTCTATCACACTTTTCTGAAGAATGACCCAGAAACGCAATGGACTTGGAAACAAAAGCAACAGTTGTTTTTATTTCAAATTTGTTTGGATATCAAATACATCAATTACATATTTACATTAGAAATATATGATTTCATCTATTAACGTCCAAATAGGTATACAATCTTTGTAATATGAATATTACAAAACAATCTTTGTAATACATCTAGCCCTGAATATAGGTTCACTAGAATTATCTTAAGTACAAAAAATAAATTTTGCCCATCAATATTTAAAAACCATAAATATTAATTAGATTAGATAGATGTTACATGATTTATCATTAAAGTATACGTTTATAGTTTAATATTTTTATAGTGAAACCAAAGTATGTCATATTATATAGATCACAGCGTGTCCTCTTTCACAAAGTGTGTCCTAGGCAAGAGAGGAAGCTCAACTGTGGGGGCTGGCTGGTGCCCAAGAGTCTAGCGCGCCTGGACTTGTCTGGAAATGGAATAGAGGCTGTATATGTTTTGGTGGCTGTTACTTCTAAACTTCATGTGGTGCACTTGTATATGTTTAGTAATGGGGGTGTGTTTGTGGACAATACACTGCTCTCCTTCATATTCCAAAACTCGAAAAGGCTTTGCCATCAAAGTAACCTCCATCTTGCCGAGGTGGTCAGAGACGGACAGGGCTGTTGTGGGTTGAGGGCAGACAGGGCTGTTGTGGGTTGAGGCCTGAGGGCAAGAACGGCATGGTTTGTTGCAGTTGGATAGATGATTATGGTGGTAGAGATAGGAGCACTCATATCGAGAGGACGAGCTGCGTTGCGAAGACAGACGATGTTAGTGGAAGGAAAGAGGAGGCAAGATGTTGGACAGTTCAATCTAATGGACAAAAAAATGGATGTGCAAATGGGTGGGTTTGGGTACAATATAGCAAAGCCAAAAAAAAAAAAATTAATCTTTTTAATATCATGTCCCTGCTTGCGGCCAATTCGCCCACTAGGAAACAGAAGTTAAAACTCCAGAAAAGTGCACAGTACAAACCCATTTGATGGTAACACAAGAGGAAGGTAGAGCCACGAAACATTCTTTTTTGCAGTTTCGGACTTCTCAAGTCCATTTGAACCCAATCATGCAGCTCACTGCTCAGTGCTCACTGGAGTAAGAAAAGACTCAAGAAAGTTCAATCTTTGTAGAATCGAATCGACTCGTAAACATCAATTTGATAAGTACAACAGTAAACAAGTCAAATAGCTAACAGCAATATTATATTGAACAGAGGATTCAAAGGCCAAATAAATCGAAACCTCCAGTGTGAAACAACTGGTCCTGGTAGGTCCTCAGTGTCTTATTCAGAGCACCACCCTGAGTATTCCAGATGGTGGAAATCTGCAACTCAGATCAGAAGTAATTGCTTGTGTAGAATTTCTTCAGGAAGTCAGAGTTCCCTTGATCCTTTGACCCAAGCTCATGCACCAGGCCCTCTTGGCCGATCACATACTGCCCAATCACATGGTGGCGCTGCTTTGCATGTTCAACTATGTTGTTCAGTTCCTCCATCCCGTTGAACAGAAGCATATCAATAACCTGCGAGCAAACAAAATTAGTTAAATAAGGAATCCTGGAGTGCCATCCTATGTAAAAATTGAAGCCACTCAGACAATTATCTTTGAAAACCCACATTAAAACCAGTGGACAATGACATGTGTCACATCGGCACCAAAAAGTGTTGACTTATGATAATGACAACATAATACAAGAATCATATACAGTAACAAACTAGCACAAGCAAAACATACTGACAAAATATTTTAGGTAGTGAATTCTATTTGGCATTTGGTTAAAAGAACCAGCATGCACCCGAACATTAAGAAGTGATGGAAGGCTACAAAGGGAAAGGCACGGCACCACTCAACTATAGATCCAAGGGCACATTGATTGTGACTTGGTAAATAATAATTCAAAATAACAACAACAACAACAACATAGCCTTTCAGTCCCAAGCAAGTTGGGGTAGGCTAGAGTTGAAACCCACCAAGAGCCCCAAGTCATGGTTTAGGCACTTCAACTATAGATCCAAGGGTGCATTGATTGTGACTTGGTAAATAATAATTCAAAAGGTTGCTCAAATCCGTGTTGGATTTGAGGTTGCAGACCACAAAGTAGATGCGCTTCAGGGTAGCACTGTGACCATGTAAAAACCACTGAATGACAACAGTAAACTGACCAGAGAATACTACGATCTTGCTTTCAGTAATCGTCATTGAATACATTAGTTACAGCTTCGCTGCCCTTCATGTTCACTCCCTTGAGATGACAATGACCTAAATCTAAATGGTTTTCAAGTTTTCATCAAGCTGAAGTCAGCTTTTAAATTATATAAAATGGTGCATATCTGGTGACGGGGGTTAGGCTAAGAGTTTTTGTCTGGAAGTAATACTGACACAAGTAGAGACAAAACATAGCATAACAAAATGTATATGGCAGTTGAAAGGATTGTATATGTAATTAATATAAATTCAAACAGGCGCAAATAATTATACTCATGAGTATGTTTTACCCGATATGGTCAAGGTGAACAAAACCAAAGCACCCCTACATTACAGCTACATAAAGGAAACTACTGGTGAAAACATATCACAAAAACCGAGGAACCCTCAAGCATTGTACATTGCCCTGCACAAAGTTATAAAGCTTTTAGCCTGAGCTAAAATCACTTGCGTAGTATATTTCCATTTTTCAAGATGTCTTTCAGTAAATTCAGTAAAAGATTCACTTACAGGTTATAGCACACAATTATCTGACTCAGAATCAAATATATGTAGATGTCATGTAAGTGTTTGATTTTTGAAAGTCTACCCTGGAGTAAATAAAGTATGCATGTTTCATGAGTAAAATGAACAGCCGGCCCAGCTGCCCTTCAACTTATGCGGGGTGTCACCTAGATCCATCAACTTCGAAAGTGCATTTCTAGGTCAATAATCGTAGGTCCATACCGTTCCATGTGTGCACTTACTGCTGACATGGCATGCTGACTATCGTCTTCCATCCCATCTCTCTTCCCTACAGTGTCAGACATGGCATTTCATCAAGTATGTAATGTGCAAGGTCGAGAGCTCTCAGACACACCTCTTACCTGTCTAGTCCCTGTGACGGAAGGTGCATGCCGTTGTGCTGTGAGACTTAATACGACAGTCCACCACATTGGTGATGCCATCTATGGCCTTCATAGCAAGTGGGCCGCATGATATTGCCATCGCCACCATGGTCCACAGCTGCAGGCTTGGTTTGCCTCTGTCACAGCATTGCTTCACCTTCGCCAACTGCATGCGAGTTGACACGGTATCATCATCCCGCTACAGAGCCTGCCTTGGCCACCACAAGCACGGAGATGCACCGAGGCTGCCATGCAGCCAAGCCGGGTTGGCAAACTCGTTGTTGCTCTGCACTCTTGAAGGCCACCACAAGCCACACTCGCCGCTGCTCATTGGCAGGTGTGCCGCCATGCATCGCTGCCCTGGCACAGTTGCACCGATTAACAGGCTGCACCAATGGCGGATTCCGGTTTGTGTCCCCTTCCTGTGACGGCTCCCACAAGGAGTTAGTTCTCTGCCAGCTTCCTTTACGTCTGTACTGCAGGCCATGTGTCCAAATTGTAGGAGCATGTGCTTTCCATTTCCACTTCCTCAGAGGTGAAGAGCATCGTGTCTGCAGCCTGGAAAGGGGCGACCTCATCCTTGATGGGATCTTTTCTACTTAGCTGTTCTCTTCCTCCCTCATGCTACAAACGCGTTTGCTGCCTTCCTGATTTCTAGAGCCACCAAGCATGGTAGCCGATTCGTGCCAGCGAGTGAATCAACGGTTACAAGCCGAAAGCAGCAACAGCGTGGCAGCTGCGATGAGCCCGTTGCAGCAGCGTGCAGGCCATGCTTGCTGCCTTCCTGATTTCTAGAGCCACCAAGCATCGTCGCCGATGCGTGCCAGCTAGTGACTCAACAGTTACAAGCCGGTAATAGGGCAACGGCATGGCAGCTGCAATGAGCCCCTTGCAGGCCTTGGGGCCATGACCTTGCATCCTTGCCGGAGCAGCGCGTCTAGCACGCAGCTGCAAGCATGATGCTATGGAGTCAGTGTTCGTGGACATTAGTTGCCTCCTCTGCTTTAGACCACTGGCTAGTCGGCCATTTGATATTCTTGACCACTGCCATGAGCTCCGCGAACAGGGCATAGCTGTTGCTAATACTACAGAGCCACAGCCACAATGCTGCTCAGTGGAGCTGAGACAGACAGGTGAGATCCAGAAGCAGCAGGTGCAATCCGCCATGCTGGGCTGTTGAATCGAGAGAGATATATGACGATGGAGAGGTATGGGAATGCCCCAACAACTTAAAAAGTTTATGACATAGAAATGCACTTTTGGAGTTGATGGACCCAGGTGACACCGTCTTACATGTTAAAGGGCTGCCAATGCATTTTACTCATGTTTCATTTCCCCGCATAAACATAGCATCAGCCATATATATCACATTTACAACATACTACCTCCATCCCAGAAATGATGCAACTCTAGCATAGTGTTAAGTCAAACACTTTAAAATTGACCAAATTTATATAAAAAAATGTTTATCATTACTAAATATGTATCATTAGATTTGTCATGTAATATATTGCATAGTGTACCTATTTGGAATCGTAAATGTTGATAATATTTTCCATAAGCTTAGTCAAAGCTAAGATAGTTTGACTTGGACTAAATATAGAATTGCATCCTTTCTGGGACAGAAGTAGTACACATTATAACCTGCAAGTCAATCTTGACTCTTGATCCCAGAAACACAAATTGATAAGATAATGGAAATTGCATATTTTGTGAAAATATCAAATTGGGTTGGGAGTGAAACACTTGAATTTTGCCAAGGTGGAAGGTAATTGCATCTCTAATGGTCTGAATTATGAAAGAGATCAATCGTAGTACCATTCCAAAAGGCCAAAAAACAGCAGACTCCAACTCTTAGCACCTCTAGATGGACAACATGGCCCATGGTGGGACACTATAAACTAGCAAACCTAAGATAAACAGATCAAATGATACAATATTAAACTAAACTTCATTAGAAGATGCAAATAATGTCTTACCATCATTTTTAGGAATAACTACTTCATAAAATATCTCCAATGTCTCAACAATCAGCAAGCTGCCTAGAACTATAAACAGTTTATCATTAACCCTGCCTAACAGAACAATAAAAAAAAGTAAATTTTTTGTTTATGCAAAATTTAGAGGTATAGCAAGCACATAATTGCAGTAAGGCAGTAATGAGTACCCAAAGTATCAAATTCATGCTTCCTTTAGCAGGATTCATGTTGATAGATGTCTTCACAGTTTACTATGGTGGACAGTGACAGTGATCCACAACGCCATGCAAAGAAAATACCCACCAAACATTTCTGTCCATTAGACAGCATTATAACATTGGGTAGCAACCTAGCAGGTTACAATACTGTAACTGTCCCAAATGAAACACCGCAAGTAAGTCCACACAGCAATCAAGAACGACTCCAATCACCCATTAACCGAACATATATCGGATTCCACTGCTCCTCGGATCGGGCTGAGACCAGATCGGAGAAGCAATCAAAATAAAGGTTTCGCCTCGGACCTAGGGATCGAATCGAGAGGGGGAACGAGAAAGAGAACGGGATGGGAGGGGAACCTTGGGGTTGGTAACGTTCTGGTTCTTGCGGATCTCCTTAGCGATGGTGGAGCGGAGCTGCGAGGGCGTGACAACGTCGTCGAGGTTGTAGATCTCCATGATGGTGGGGATGGAGCGGCATGCCTGCTTGAAGAAATCGAATACGCGGTGCCGCGCCTCCTCCAGCGAGGCCGAGTTCGGAGGCACCTTCACCGCTCGCATCGTGAACGCCATCGCTTCGAATCGCCGGCCGCGCCGCCTCCCGTCGCCGGTGGGTATTCCAGTGGTCGTGCTGCAATGCTGGTGGGGGTGGCTTCGGTTGGAGCTCCGGGAAGGGCAGGCCGTCGGCAGGGGATGGGGATTTCTCTGTGGGAGGAGTGGTTCGTGGTTGGGCCGGAAAGAGGGGGGAAGCAGTTTAGGCAGGCCTGGGCCCAATTACATACAATTAATTAAAACACAAAATGAATAGGAATATGGAGTTTTGTTCTTTTTTGAGATCGTGGTGAATATGAATTTGAACTAGAAAATTTAGCGCGCTTTGCGCGCCCTACCAGGCAATAATAAAGCAGTATTTCATTTGCAATAATTAATGGATGAGAAGATTTTTTTTGGTATAATGAGATGAGAAGATAAATGGTCGTTCACATTATCTTGGTATAATGGTAACCCAAATATTGAAACTGACATTTGAAAATAAGCACTAACCGATGTACAGGAAATCATATACACAGTAAACATTCCGTTTCAGATTATGAATCACAAGCAAGGATGTACTATCAAGACGAAAAGAAAGTACGACCTCTGTTCCAAATTATAATTCATTTTACTTCTTTGCCCAAATTTGACCACTCGTCTTATTTAAAAATTTAAACAAAATATCACTTCTTTTGTTGTGGCTTGCTTTATTAATAAAAGTTCTTCAAGTATGACTTTAATTTGACTATGTTTGCATAAATTTTTTTAAATAAAACGAGTGGTCAAACTTGAAGCAAAAAAGTCAAACGAATTATAATTAAGTATGGAGGGAGTATAAGCTACTCCCTCCATCCCAATTTGTAAGTCGTTCTGGAGGTTTTAGCAGAGATTAAGCTAAGTCGTTCTGGAGGGAGTACCATGGATAAACATTTTCTTTTAGCAAGAACAAATTAACCAGTTAACTGAGATGGTAATATTGCCAATAAATTAGCAAAGTTTGGCACCTGAAATATTTATTTGCTGATGGATCAATACTCTCTTTTGAAAGATAAATTAATCAATTAGCTGACATGGTGATATTGACAGTAAATTAGCAAGCTCACATACAGCCACATGCTATTTTCTAATATCTTTAATACGATTCATGCACCAAACCAGGGTATTTCATTGGGCCACGTCGCCTACTTCTCACTCAACCCTCAGCTCTCAAACAAACGTCATCAAACGTTTCAACGTAGCTTGTACAGAAGTCAGGTTCGAAAACATTCGTGAAGTCTCTGGGAAGTACTGGCCAGAAGAGAAAGCTTTCGGCCCGTTCGCTTCGCTGAAAAAACAAGCTGAAACACTGTTCCGACTGATTTATTGTGAAAGAAAAACAGTGTTCTGACTGAAAAACAAGCTAAAAAAGACAGATTATAAAAGAATCGAACAGGGCCTTCGTCGCCAAACCGTGCGTGCGCAGCCGCCGCCGCCCGTGGTCGCGTGGGCACGAGCCGCCTCCGCTCGTGCTGAGACGCGGCGCGCGTGTGCGCGCGCCCGGAGCAGGCTCTAACGCCACCGCGTCGCCGCCAGCCGCTCTTCCCCTGGCCAGAATCGGCAGTGCCGAGCGCGTGCTCTGCTCTGCTCTCAATCCTCTCATGGGAATGAAGGAGGAGGAAACCTCGTAGGAGCGCCGGGCTGCGGCACGACGAAGCATGGTTCGCGCGCATGGCCGGCGGCGCAGGTCAGCACAGACATCCAGCCAGGGAATGACCCACAGACCATGCAGACATGGTATCTTTACGAAATAGTCACCATTGCTAATCTGCTGCTACCTTGATTGACCATAGGAGATGGAAATGGAGATGAGTAACCTGCTGCTGCTGTAGAGCTGCTGAGCATTGGTGAGGGAAGAAGGCAGCAGAAAGACGACGAAAGGAGTTTCCTGCTGCTACGATCCTTGCGCTAGAGATTAGAGGACGACCTGTTGCTGATGCTTGCCGGATGGATAAGAGATAGAGGAACTGCTGCTCGGCACAGCAGCTCTCTCAACGCAACATGATGCTTCATCTTCATTAGATGCTCTCACTTGGGATAATTTGATCTAATAAATTTCATTCCTGAGAATTTTACTTATAAAATATGAAATAAACATGAGAATTTTACTTATCCTACTACACTTGCTAAAACGACGACGACGACGACAACAACAACAAAGCCTTTAAGTCCCAAACAAGTTGGGGTAGGCTAGAGTTGAAACCCATCAGAAGTAATCAAGGTTCAGACACGTGAATAGCTGTCTTCCAAGCACTCCTATCCAAGGCTAAGTCTTTGGATATATTCCATCCTTTCAAGTCTCCTTTTATTGCCTCTACCTAAGTCAACTTCGGTCTTCCTCTGTCTCTCTTCACGTTACTATCCTGGCTTAAGATGCCACTACGCACCGGTGCCTCTAGGGGTCTCCGTTGCACATGTCCAAACCATCTCAACCGGTGTTGGACAAGCTTTTCTTCAATTGGCGCTACCCCTAATCTATCATGTATATCATCGTTCCGAACTCGATCCCTTCTTGTATGACCGCAAATCCAACGCAATATATCGCATTTCCGCGACACTTAGCCGTTGAACATGTCGTCTTTTCAGAGGACCAACATTCTCGCACCATACAAACATAGCAGCAGTCTAATCGCCGTCCTATAAAACTTGCCTTTTAGCTTCATGGTACCCTTTTGTCACATAGGACACCAGACGGCAACACAGCCACTTCATCCACCACCGCTTTGATTCTATGGCTAACATCTTCATCAATGTCCCCGTCCCTCTGTAACATTGATCCTAAATATCGAAAAGGTATCCTTCCTAGGCACTACTTGACCTTCCAAACTAACATCTTCCTCCTCCCGAGTAGTAGTGCCAAGTCACATCTCATATACTCGATTTTAGTTCTGCTGAGTCTAAAACCTTTGGACTCCAAAGTCTTCCGCCATAACTCCGGTTTCGATTCACTCTGTCCGGCTTTCATCAACTAGCACTACATCGTCCATGAAAAGCATACACCAAGGATGTCCCTTGTATGTCCCTTGTGACCTCATCCATCACTAAAGCAAACAAATAAGGGCTCAAAGCTGACCCTTGATGTAGTCCTATCCTAATCGGGAAGTCATCCGTGTCTCCATCACTTGTTGAACTCTAGTCACAACATTGTTGTACATGTCCTTAATGAGCAGACGTGCCGTTGGGACTTTATGTTTGTCCAAAGCCCACCACATAACATTCCTTGGTATTTTATCATAAGCCTTCTCCAAGTCAATAAAAACCATGTGTATGTCCTTCTTCTTCTCCCTATACCGCTCCATAACTTGTCTTATTAAGAAAATAGCTTCCATGATTGACCTTTCGGGCATGAAACCAAATTGGTTCACAGAGACCCGCGTTATTGCTCTCAAGCGATGCTCGATAACTCTCTCCCATAGCTTCATAGTATGGCTCATCAACTTAATTCCCCGATAATTAGTACAACTTTGAATATCCCCTTTATTCTTGTAGATCGGTACCAATATACTTCTCCTCCACTCATCAGGCATCTTGTTCGATCGGAAAATATGGTTGAACAGCTTGGTGAGCCATACTATAGCTATGTCCCCGAGGCATCTCCACACCTCGATTGGGATACCATCTGGTCCCATCGCCTTACCTCCTTTCATCCTTTTCAACGCCTCTCTGACCTCAGATTCTTGGATTCTCCGCACAAAGCGCCTATTGGTGTCATCAAAAGAGTCATCCAACTGAAAAGTTGTGTCCATATTCTCACCATTGAACAATTTATCAAAATACTCTTGCCATCGATGTCGGATCTCATCCTCCTTCACCAAGAGATGCTCCTTTTCATCCTTAATGCACTTAACTTGGTTGAAGTCCCGTGTCTTTCTCTCACGAACCCTAGCCATCCTATAAATGTCCTTCTCTCCTTCCTTCAGACTCAAATGTTGGTAAAGATCCTCAATCGCTCTACCCTTTGCCACACTTACATTTCGCTTTGCGCCTTTTTTTGCCACCTTATACTTCTCTATGTTATCCACACTCCTATCATGGTACAAGCGTCTATAGCATTCTTTCTTCTCCTTAATAGCCCTTTGGACTTCCTCGTTCCACCACCAAGTATCTTTAGCCTCGCCTCCACTTCCTTTGGTTACTCCACACACCTCTGAGGCCACCTTCCGAATGTTGGTTGCCATCTTCTCCCACATGTTGTTTATGTCGTCTTCTTCCTTCCAAGAGCCCTCTTTGATAACCTTTTCCCTAAATACCTCTGACGTCTCCCCTTTCAGTTTCCACCACTTTGTTCTTTGAATCTTAGCTTGTTTATCCCTACGGGCACGCACCTAAAAACGAAAATCTACCACCAAAAGCTTATGTTGAGAAACAACACACTCCCCTGGTATCACCTTGCAATCCAAGCATGCTCGTTTGTCCTTTCTTCTTGCGAGGACAAAGTCAATCTAGCTACAGTGTTGTCCGCTACTGAAGGTCACTAGATGAGATTCTCTCTTTCTAAAGAAAGTGTTGGCTATCATCAGGTCAAAAGCTACCGCGAAGTCAAGAACTTCCTCCCCCTCCTGATTCCTACTACCATACCCAAAACCTCCATGAATGCCTCGAAACCTGCGCTTGTAGTACTTACATGCCCATTAAGATCTCCTCCTATAAAAAGCTTCTCACTACTAGGTATAGCTCTAACTTGGGCCATCTAAGTCTTCCCAGGACTGTCTCTTAGCACTCTCGTCGAGGCCTACTTGGGGGGCATACGCACTAATTACGTTCAAGACCATATCACCAACGACAAGCTTGACTAAGATAATCCTATCTCCTTGCCTTCTCACTCCCACCACACCATTCTTGAGGCTCTTATCAATCAAAACTCCTACTCCATTTCTATTCAAGATCGTCCCTATGTACCAAAGCTTGAAACCCAGTATTGTCCACCTCCTTCGCCTTCCCCGACCTTCCATTTAGTCTCTTGAACGCATAATATATTTACCGCCTCCTAA